CGAAATCAGCAGCCTTTTAGAGTGCGTGTGTTTCATTTCAAGAAAACCCTGCTAGATTGCTTTTTCTCAGTGGTAAAAATATAATCAAATTGAAGCTGAAAGCCTAAAGAATCGTTTGAATGCATTCAGTGAAGTGTTTTCTTAAGAACATCTAGTGAAATTAGCGTTTCAATTTGGGTTGCCGAAAATAGTCTGCCATGCCGAAGCCGTCATTTCCCCTACCTAAAACTGACGGTTTGGGTGCAAACATTTTTGTCTTCCTAAATACGACTTTGGGACATTGTGCATTGGTTTTGGTTCTACTATACTCCTTTTTGTGACGTCTTGATTGTCAAGTTTTCTTCGTACAGCTAAAAAACATCTATTTCGACTGTTTTTTGCTTATTTGCAACAATTTTGAGGTTTTGGCCAACTTTTGTTCTAAGGGGAACCACTGTGAAGTGGCTTGACACTCTTTCTTAGCTAGTGAATTTAAGGGAAGTTTCAAGAACCTCAGGAAAATTACGGGAGCATCAGTGAAGATTCTCAAATTTTACGGAAGACCTTTGAAGTTCCGAGCTCTACTTACTTTAGGGAAATTGCAGGAACATTAGGAAGTTTTAGGAAGATCTTAAGGAAAGTCCAGATATCTTACGGTCAGTTCCGATAACTTCAGGGATGATCGGAGATTTTCAGGAAGGTTCCTAATGGAAGTTCCATAAAATTCTGGAAAGTTCTAAGATCTTCACGAACGTCCTTAACTTCAGAGAAATTCAAAGAGCTTTAAAGGTAACCTCCGACAAATTTGGGGGCAATTCCGTTAGAGTTTTACGAACATCAGGAAAATATTCAAAACATAATGGAAATGCAGAACATTTAAAGAAAGTTAAGAGTAACCTTTTGGGCAGAACCTAGCAGGTCAGGGAAATTAAGAGAACTTTAGAAACGGTTAGAAAACTTCAGTGCACTCTCATTAAAATAGTTTTTAAAAACAATTTCAAAAAATTAAAGAGATGTTTTGAAAACATCAGGAATATTTTTGAAAATTCACAGAATTTAGGAGAACTTCAAGGAAGTTCAGAAATATTTTTGGAAGTTTCATTAGGTGCTTCAGAAAAAAATTCGAAGATATCAGGAAAGGTCAGGGATATTCAGGGCAGCACCATTAATTTCAACGATTTTGCAGGATCTGTAATGAAGTTTGGAGAACATGATGAGAATTCCATAAAAATCAGGAAATTCCGAGTAGTTCGAGAAAATATTGGGAGCTTCAGAGAGGCACCATTAAGGTCAGGAAACTTTCAGGAACTTGAGGGAAGTTTCAAGAGCTTCTGGGAAAAACCGTGAATTGCAGAAGTCCCGAGAGCTTCAGAGCAAATCTGAGATTTTCATGAATGTTCCATGAACATCATGAAAATGTCAAGAGATCTCAGAGATCTTCTAGAAAATTCCGTTAGCTTCAGGAGAATTCCGGGAACTTTTAGGGAGTTCTGAAAACTTTTTGGGACAGCTTCAAAAACTTTGAGAAAGTTACGTGAACTTCACGGCAGTTCCGAGAAATTTATGCAAATTGCAGGATCTTCATGGCAGGTCCATTAACATCGATGGGGGCGACTCTATCTAAGATGCAAGAATTTTTTTGCTTTGCTGTTGCGAGATGCACTCGCGCTTAATAGATAGAAACACGATTGATTGTGATTTTGAAGATTTCCTGCAAAAAGGTGGAGAACGAAGCGAATAGATGGGTTTAGATACAAGAGATGAAAAAAGATTTTTCGTAGATTGATTCGCTAGTGTGAGATTTTTCGACCATTTAAAATCGAGATTTAGATGTGTCGCACCCCTCGATTAACATCCGAACAGTACAATTTTCATACAATTATATATTTTTTATAAAAAGACAATTTTATATTTGCCTCAAGGCTTTGTGGAGAGGAGGGCGGTTTGAACCAAAACCCCCCGCCCTCGCTACCGTAGTACCCAAATGTATTGCGTCTGGAAAATCATTTCGTTAAAGTTTCATCCAAAAATATGCATTCTGGAAAAACATACTTGTAAGCTGCACTCCATTGAAATAACTGCCAGTACATTTGTTGCATGAAACATATGCTGAGGATGTAATAAATCTAACCTCACATTGACTGTGAGAGAGAATGTACCATATTGGGAAAGCATAATTTTCATAGGGTTCAAAGCGGCTGAGCTGTTCGTTTGTAGTTTGACCTTCCTTCAAAACCAATTTGGCTCTAGAACAATTTTAAACACATGTTGCAATTATTGAAAAGAGCTCAATATAAGATAACCACAGAGAACAGACGTTGAGGCTCCAAAATTTCTGTAAAAACTTGTGTAAGATTCCTATTCGACTTAAGCGCCACTAACGGCGACTTCCCCACTTAAAAACCCTCTTTGACAACATGATGGCGCTGGCGTTGCAAAACTTACACTAGACACTAAGTGCTGGTAGCGCGAAGTGGCGATTTTCAGCAGATAATTTATCGATACTAGCGCCAAATTGGTCGAAAGTGATAAATTTATAGAGGAAATCAGGAGATGCTAGCGCTACGTAACGGCAACGTTTCCTCTTAACTTTACACAAGTTTCTGACCGAACTTGGACGTCTGGTGTCTGTGAGATAGCTTAATACAATTAAATAGAAATGCCAAAAACTTATCGAGTAGTTTAGCTGTTCTGATTTCGGTACAGTTTATTGTGATTGAGTGTCGGAGTTTGTGAGTAAGCTGAAGGATGTCTCGCTGGATACGCCCAAGACTGGACGGGCGGTAGCTGGTGGCCGTGAACGGTTCCTAGGGAAAGCACTAGATGCGACCCTCATCCCAGATGACCATGGCAATACAGGAAGTATTACAACAAAGGTAATTGCTATTAGATATTTTGAAAACAGTGACAGATAGCGGACATGAAGAACCAGTGGAGATGCCGGGCAAAGGTGTTTATCCTAGACATATGGTAAGTTACAAATTCGCTGTTGTCGTTGTCGTAGGCACCGTCGTAGTTGCTGTCGTAATAGCCGTCATAGTCGTAGGCAGTACCGTTAGTATATTTAAAATTAACCATTTAGGATTTCAAAGATCGTCGATTGCAGTGGCTTGCTTACTGAGCAGAAAAATGCGGTCCCAGGTCCTTTCATATTAAACATGTATGGTAAGATCGCTTGTTTATCGTGTATTTTGTAAAACTTTTCGTTGTCGTCGGTGCCAGGTTTGAATAGTTATACAAACTTGAGTAACGCTATAATGTGATATGAGGGGCTCGGTGGCCTTGGAGCAACCGGTTTTTCTTACTGAGCAGAACATCATGAGTCTAATCTCAAGCCCATCCACATTCAAGATTCGTCAATCGTTTTATTTGTTAACATGACTACATGATAATAACAGCAACTCGACGATTAAAAAGGAGCTCGTCTGCCTAGTGGCAAACGTTTTTGCTTACTGAGCAAAAGGCCGTGGGTTCAATCCCAAGCTCCTTCGCGTTATATGATTGTTAGGACATCAATTCAGCTTATCGTTTACCAAAACGAACCCTGCTGCAAACCCAACCCTATTACCCAATATCCCAGTGATTCCTCGTGGAAGTGCAGAGGTGTTCTCGGCTTCCATCAAAGCGAGGGTCACGTCAACACATTCCTACCCCTTCCTTTCTTGACCTGTGTTCGGGTGCGGCCGGCGCTGGTATTGCCTAGTTTTAGATCACCAGTTTTTACACATTGAGGATGATTACTAGCCCCAAGCATCGTCTATTGGTTCTCTGTGTAATTACAGCTGATCTGGCAATAACAGAGTAGCAACCGTGGGCGGTCAATCAAGCTCATTCTCATGCTCATGCTCACATTGACTGTAAGACAAATTTTGTTTGCCTGTACAGCTCTCAATTAACAACTGTGAAATTGAAAAAAAAAAGGCTTCTAAGGCGGGGAAAGGGGCTTAGAAGACAAGCATTCCAATGCTCCATAGGCAGATTCCAAAACCCAGTTGTGACATATTATCCAATGACACGTGTCTATCGCCAAATTTTAAATCAATAAAACCATATCAAGCAATCAGTTCCCACCGATTTCCCCCGGCCCTACTCAAATTTCACGCATCAAAAGTAAATATTAACCTCAAAATGCCAACAACCACCATCATCCCTTCGCTCCGATTATCGTCCCTCACCCCCGCAACTCTCAGCTTGACAGCTGACTCGGCGAGTTACATCACTGTTTTGCATCCTAATCGCCGTTTTTCGGCATTAGCCATAAACCTCCCACCCCCCCCTAACTGTAGCAGGGTGGCAAAATGAAAAACCGAACAACTCGCGATAATCCAAAACATCGACACGAGTCGTTAGCATCAAAGTAAGCCTGGCAGTAGCTTTTCCGAACCCAACTCACGAGTCACGATGCCGACGGCTGCTGGCACTGCCCTACTCTGCTGTCGTCATCATTTAACCGTCATCGCCTCGCCACACACCGTCCGTCCGTTGTGTTCATATGTGTACAAACAACAAAGCACGAAATTTTCCCAACAGCTTGTCAGCAGCAGTGAGTTTCCACTCGATTTCGAAACGAGAGAGAGAGAGAGAGTACTTCGGATGTTTGCCAATTTTCCTCACAGCAGTAGGCTACTTCTGGCGAGGCTCTTCGTGGGTTGGCATGGCAGTAAGGAGTTTTCCGAGTTTGCTTTCCACTCTCTCTCTCTCGTGCTGAGCTTCGTGTTTCCACAGGAGCGTGTAAAGGGGGATTTCGATGGTGTTGAGCGATAAGGGCTTCACCCTAAGCACGTGCCCGTGTGGGGTGTTCCGTGTTTGGAGTCATCATCATCAACCGGAGTGGCAGAGCGGGGCCCTTTTCTGGATTTGCGGAAGCAAGGTGGTTGCACTAACTGGTACCGGTAGCAGGTGGACAGGGAGGGAGGTGGGATTTTGCCAGCGAAAAGGTCTCTACGATGACGTGTTTTGGAAGCCGCATTCGAAAGCTCGCTCGCTCGCTCAGTTCATGCAGACACTTGGCGAACGAAGCACACGCGCGTCCGGTAATAGTCCCTGTCCGTGTTCCGTTCCGAACGACAGTTGAAGTCCGAGTTAATCCGAGAACCGTCAAGCAATACCAAAGTTGAGTTTCTTTTTTTCGTTCTTGTTTTGTACCAGGGAATTTTCAATTTCCAATCCCCCCCTTAGTTACTTACCGTCGGTCATCGTCGTCCTAGCCTACTGCAGTCGACGTGTGCGTCTGTGTGTTTTTATGTGTGTAAATTTTCGGTGTGTTACATTCAGTGCCATATATAGTTAAAAGTTGGATATTTCCTGTCGAAATTGATAGAAATTCGTCGGTTTCCGGTGGTTTCGCGTGCGGCCCGGGGAGGAAATTGAATTACTGCTAGTGGTTTCCACATCCCCCCCGCGTTCGCTCGGGTTAACTTGCTGTCTTGGATGGTGCCTAGATGCAAAGTTCTCAGTTGAAGGTTTCAAGAAGTTCTCAAGCCGAGTTTTTGTTTGCGAAAAGAAGGCTCCGTCGTGGCTTGTGTCCTCCTTGTTCGGGAATAATTTCGAACGAACCGTTCTCTATGCTGCAGCAGTAGCGTGAAGAAACCGTGAGAGTGTGAATCGCGTGAATCATATGGTTGCTTGGATGTTGCTGTGCTAAACTGATGATGATGATGACGCTGATAAATCGTAGATAGCTACGATTATATAAAGAAAATAAGAGAAACACCAGCAAAGAAGGTAGAGCATCTGCGGCAATCCATCATCATTTTTTTCTTTTTTCTTTTTATCCGGAATCAGCTGACTGACTGTTCGAGCTCAACGAGTGATGGAACGACATTGTGATCAGAAATTCCAAACATTCCTCGTGTCCTCGAACGCATCGAACCTTTCATCCGAGTGACTCTGATCGTGCCCTCTTCCGTCGCACAAAAAAATGCTTATTATGTAATGAAAAATTTATACTTGTGAATTTGATAGTACATCGACTGGAGCGCGAGAGCACCTAGATAGTGGAGCGCGATTTTCCTGCTTTAATGGCACTCTGCTAGTTATAAGCCCCGTCAATAAAAATACAACCACGTCTATATGGCAACGGATACAGCCGAAACGGAGGAAAAGTCGCGTAGCAGGCAGCGAAGCCACGAATGTTCGTTTTGGTTTTGAAATTAGTTTCTTTTGAAGTACCCACACTAGTACCAAGGAAACGGCAGGGGGGCGTCGACGACGATTGCCGGATGCGGATCCTTGGAACTAACCGAAAATCATCAAATTTGGCACCGATCCAACTTTAATCAGACTTACCGAACCTAACTAACCTCCAGAGGCATTTACTGGCAGCAGCAGCAGCATTAACATACATACCTACCGACCGGTGTGCATACATACCGACATAACCATTCGCATATCCTGTTTCCCACCGCCGGCCTGGTTGCACCCGATTTCTTCCAAACCAACAACGACCGACACGAACCGATATCCGTTGGGAGTGATTGAGGAAAAAGTGTTTAAATTTTTGAAAAGAGTGCGCAAAATCGCCTACTGCCAAGTCGTGTGTTGGTGTTTTCTATTCGTTTCTCCTTTCGACGGCAATTCGTCGTCGTTGTGTCGTTGACGATGAATGGATGGAAGAAAAGTAGGCAAGTGCCGCACTAAAAAGTTGCCGATAAATGCTATATGTACTGGCCTAGTACTTCTCTTACTGCTGGGGGGTGTACAACACCTACAGGCAGGCAGGCAGGCGGGCAGGTGGGCGGGGGTCGGAACTTCTTTTGCACAGTTTTGATCACCTCGGGGCATGGAAACAGAATCTACGAAGCTTTTGTCGTCCGCTTAAATTTATGCAAGGAAGGGAAAATGTGACGTAGCATATATTTGCTGATGTTCTGTAGCATGGAAGTACTGTTGATCTGCGACGGTTGATTGGGTACTGTGTAATCATTTATTCAAGATAGAAAAACATTCGAATTCTTTTGTTGTAAGTTTCCGAGCCCTGACGATGACGTGCAACAAATATTCCGTTGAACATATTTCTTTGATATCCAACCGATCTCCACAAATAAAGTTTTGATAAGTTTTTTTTTAAATACAGTCAATACTCCACAACTCGATATTTGCTATAGCTCGATGTAATCAGCTAGAGAGGGTATAGTGTACGAGAGGAACGGGCTGAACCGATCTGTCAAAGCCATATGGTTTTGAAGCCAAACGACCCGTCAAAAGCCAAGCCAATTGAACTGTCATTCGAAACAATCGAAGAAACTAAATCATTTATTATAACAACAGTGCATGCAACAATTTGTTTTTCACATCATACATCGAAGCTGAATGTTTGATGAAATGTAATTGATTCGACTTTATTATTGAAGCATGCACGATTTTTGAAGAATATCGCTCTGAAGTGATTTACAACAGGCTGTAGTATCTTGTAGGACTTTACAATAGAACAAAAGAAGACCTATGGGAATAAGGCCTGCACTCGAAAAAAATGCACCAGACAAAAGTGTTCGCCAAAAATTTATTTTAAGTCGGATTTTCTTGAAACTTTCAGGGAATGAACTAATACATATGGATTATGATTCGGCATAATTACTTTATTCAATTTCCTTTCCATCGCTGAAAGCCCGCACCTTTCCCTTAAGACCTCTCATTACATTTTGTGCAATTGTGGAGCCGACCTTTTTGGTCACTTTCATCCATTCTTTCTTCAACTCCAGCTCGTTCTTAAACACCTTGGACGATTTTCGAACTTTGGCCTTCATTATGGCCCAAAATCTTTCCATCGGATGAATCTCTGGTAAATTTGGGGGGTTGGCGGGTTTTGGTACAAAAACAACGTTATTGTCTGTGTACCAATCCAACGTCGATCGCGCGTAATGGCATGATGCCAGGTCCAGCCAAAATAATGTTTCGCCTCCGTGGGACCGCAGGAAGGGCAACAGACGCTTCTGGAAGCACTCGGTGCGGTAAATTTCGCTGTTGATGGTACCCATTGTGATGTACGGTTTACTCAGTTTACCGCATTGGCATATGGCCTGCCAGAGCAAGTATTTTTTGGCGAATTTGTCCACTTTCTTCTTCTTTATATCTTCTGGAATATCAAACCGTGATTTGGCAACGTAGAACTCCAGCCCCGGTATCTGCTTTGCGTCTGCCTTGATGTAGGTTTCGTCATCCATAACCACACACATCAGTTTCGTTAACCACTCTCGATACAGCTTCCTAGCGCGGGATTTGGCCGCCGTGTTTTGTTGATCACGCCGGTTCGGTGCCTTCCGGACCATGAATACACGAAGCCCAGCTCGTTTCATGGTTTGCTGAACGAACCAGGCGGAACACTTTGCCTTCAGAGCCGCGTTGCGAATCGAAAGGTCGGATTACGCTTGAAATAATCCAACACCTTCCGGGCCTTCACAGGGTCAGCTGTCTTCGATTTTCTTCCACTTCGATTTCTTCCGCCGCTCGGTCGTCTGGGACTCCTTAAACGATTTTACCACCCGAGACACAGTTGTATGGGTGATTCCCAGTTGTCTTCCGATGCAGTGATGGCATAATCCTCACTCAAATGATTTTGTTTCGCTCTCAAGGGCTCCCAATATCACGCATGATATTGGAATAAAATATCAAGCATGATATTGTTTTTACAAGCTCCTTTGATATTGCGAGACTATTCAGAACATGTAAAATTGCAGCCATAAGTTAACTTACCACAAAAATGATTCCTTTGCACATCGTTTTCTTAGAAAGAGAAAGCATAGTTTGCTATCTTTCTTTACGCTTCACAAATGGCAGACACGAAGTTACTGCTGCCAGCAGTGATGGAAGTTTCGTTTCGTGTTCGGATTTACAGCAAAAATCTTGAAGCTCAAACTCAACACAGTTTGGTAAGAATTGTAGCCGGGGAGTTTTGTTAGCATGATATCATAGCAACCGTATCACAGCTTGTAATATCATCGGCTGTTGTTTGCGTGTTGAGTTTTTGGTCTACGATACTCAAATGAGATTATGCACATTGGTGAGATTAGATCTTTTGATATTTTCACAACACTGTTCCGATGTCATGGTCGCAGTCCGATTTTCCATGACATCGCGCAAAATTCTCCGGCGATTTTCTTCTTGTTTCGACGACATCTCAATAACCGCTGAACCGATTGTTATGAAATTTTGCACATGGAAACAATTCACTCCAAACTAGTTTTACCCAGATTTTCATCAATTTTTACCCATGGATAAAAAAGTTACACACGGATAAAAATGGTGCCTTTTTTTCGAGTTCAAGCCTTAGAAGTAAAGGTCCTACATATCCAATCCATCCCAGATGGCTTCACAGACCTTTATTAGACGTTTAACTCAATTTACTTCAACTGAGAACTGCACGTCGCAAAATTTGGTCGGTTCCAATATACAGCCATTCCATAGCAAAACGAGTGGTTCTCATAATATCGTAAAATGGGTAGTTTAGTTCCTTATTCACAAAATATTAGACCCGTATTTTTTATTATGTCATTAGGGTACAAATTTCCATGTTATGGTGGTAAAAAAAATCAAAATTCATAACTTTTGAACCTCTGGGCCGATCTCAAAGATCAAAAATAAAATGAATGTTAATTAAAAATACTTTTCAGAAAAAAATAGGGGAATTTACGTATTCTCGTCAATCTAAGCAGCGTCCGCACTTCTATTAGCATTTTCACAGCGTTACGCACATATATGACGTGTCTGTTTATTTCAATTCATCTGCTGCTTGCTTCTCTATCCATTCCAATCGACAGAATTCTTCAAAACTGTTTGAAAGCGTTTTTACAACGCTCTAAACTTCTCAGGTGAGTGTGACTATTGTCGGCAGCCTCTTTTTCTTCGGCAACCTTCCCATTAGAACTGCGTGTTAACCAGCTGTTCTATTATCGGCAACTCGAAATCAGCCCCATTTTGTATTACGTATGCTTCATTTGAAGAAAAATCTGGCATAACAGGATTGCTCGGTCCTACAAATATAATCAGATTGAAGCTGAAAGACTAAAGAATCATTTGGATACATTCAGGGAAGTGTGTTGATGGTAAAACATAGTAAAATTAACGTTTAAATTTTGATTGCCGAAAACAGTCAATGGGTGCCGAAGCCGACATTTACCCTATAACGATATTAAATATCTCGGATTTTGTATTGAAAAACATTGATTGTATTTTTAATGGTTTTCTAGACAGAGGACGCAGTATGTTTTTATACTCTTCCTTGAAAATTTAGGTTTTTTAACACAACATATCGTTTTTTTCGTTTTTGAGTTATATTTTTAGAAGAGTTATCAGGTTTTGAGTTTTCCCTCAATACTCCTATGCGACTAGACTTGCCTACGTCTCCATTGATTTATAGTGACTGTAACATGGTCACATTATCTGTACTTACTTTGAACACCGCCACAGGAGTCTCCATACGGGTCCCTATCTTTATTCTAGAGCACTAGCGTTAAGGAGGGGTAATTTTTTTTCTATGGTGCATTTAATCTGGGGATGGGGAGTACTCCAAAGTGCGTGGTGGATGGTGCTGTCCACCCACCACTGTTTCCCTACTGTTCAATTTAGGTAATTTAATTTAGTAAAACAACAATAGACCAAGGTTCACTCGAAACCTAATACCCACTTTTCAATTAGTGCATCCAAAAGCTGTCTTTAAACTTTATACAGTTGCGAAAAAGTTCATCCTCAGAATTCCTTGAGAGTCTTTTCGAAATTTTAAGAACTCT